TATATGATCTTTATCTCAATCTGATAAAAGCCCTCTATGACAAATCGGTAGCCAATAGCATACTAAATGGACAAAAACTGAAAGCTTTCTTTTTTTATTTTTATTTTTTGAAAGCTTTCATTCTAAAATCAGGAACAAGATAAGAATGTCCACTGCCACCACTCTTATTCTATTTTTTATTTTTTATTTTTATTTATTTATTTTTTTTTGTCTTTTTGAGACAGGGTCTCACTATGCAGATCAGGCCAGCATTGAGCTCACTTTGTAGCCCAGGCTGGTCTCGTACTCACAACGATTCTCCTGCTTCAGCCTCCCAAGTGCTGGGATTACAGGTGTGCACTACTACGCCCAGCTCCACCACTCTTATTCAATATAGTTCTGCAAACATTAGCCAGGACAATTAGACAAGAGAAAGCAATAAATGGAATAAAGATAGGAGAGAAAGAAGTTAAGTGTCATTATTTGCAGATGACATGGTACTCTACATAGAAGACCCTAAAAACTCCACCAAAAGACTTGTAGATTTAACCAAATTCAGTAGCATAGCTGCACACAAAGTCAACACTCAAAATCAGGGCCGGGGATATAGCTCGGTGGCATAAGCGCCTGCCTGGCAAGCGCAAGGTCTTTGTTTGTTTGTTTGTTTGTTTGTTTCCAGTACCGGGAATCGAACCCACGACCTTGCACTTGCCAGGCAGGTGTTGTGCCGCTGAGCTAAATCCCCAGCAAGCGCAAGGTCTTGCGTTCAATTTCCAGTACCAAAAAAAGAAGAAAAACACTCAAAATCAATAGGTTTCCTGTACACAAATAACAAACTCACTGAGAGAGAAATTAGTGAAACCACACCTTTCACAATAGCATCCATTGACTTCCATAGTGTAGTTATCACATTTGCCTGACACAATAGCCTCCAAAACAATGAAATTCCTAGGAACCAATCTAATGCAGGAAGTAAAAGACCTTTGCATTGAAAACTACAGTATGCTGAAGAGGAAGGTGGAAGAGGATATCAGAAAATGGAAAGATATCCTTTGCTCCCGAGTAAGAAGAACCAATATAGTGAAAATGGCCATACTTCCAAAACTGATATACAGATTTAATGCATTCCCAGTCAAAATACCAATAGCATATCTCACAAAATTAGAGAAAGCAATCCTAAAATTTATTTGGAACCAGAAGAGACCTAGAATAGCAAAGGCAATTCTGAGCAACAAAGGCAAGGCAGGGGGCATCCCTGACATGAAATTATACTACAAAGCTACTGTGATAAAAACAGCATGAAACTGGCCAAAAAACAAGCCAAGGATCAATGGAACAGATCGGAAGATGCAGACACAATTCCAAACACACTCAGCCCCTTTTTCTTTGACAAAAGAGCCAAACACCTTCACTGGAAGAAAGATAGCCTCTTTAATAAATGGTGCTGGGGAAACTGGCTTTCCACATGCCACAGACTAAAACTAGACCTGTATCTTCAACCATGCACTAAACTAAAATTGAAGTGGATCAAAGATCTAAATATTAAAACATGAACACTAAATCTGCTGGAAGATAGAATAGGTAGAACTCTTGAAGATGTTAGGGTAGGCAAAGACTTTCTGAACAGAACTTTGATTGCACAGGAAATATCACAAAGAATCAACAACTTGGATTTGATATTACTGAAAAGCTTTTGGACAGCAAGAGAAACCACCAACAGAGTGAAAAGACACTGAAAACGTTTTTGCTAGCTGTTCCTCAGACAAAGGACTACTATCTGAGTCTTTCACTCTTTCTTTCTTTTTTTCTTTCTATCTTTTTTCTTTGAGGCAGGTTATGGCTAGGTAGTCCAAGCTAGCCTTAAACTTACTATGTAGCCCAGGCTGGCCTGGAACTTGTGGTGATCTTCCTGCCTCAGCCTCCTGAGTGCTGGGATTACAGGTCTGTGCACCATGGCCACTACTATCTAAAATGTATAAAGACCTCCAAAATACCAGACCCCCCACCCCAGTTTAAAACACTCAATCTAAAAATGGGCATCTGAAATGAATAGACACTTCTCAGATGAGGAAGTAGAGATGGTAAATAAATATATGGAAAAATGTTCAGCATCACTGGTTATTTGAGAGATGTAAATTAAAACACTGAGATTCCATCTCACCTGGAAAGCATGTTATCATGAAATCAATCAAGAAGAATAAATGTTGGTGGGGCTGTGGGAAAAAGTAACCCTTCTCCACTGTTGGTGGGAGTGTAGACTGGTGCAACCATTGTGGAAATCAGTGTGGAGACTCCTCAAAAAACTAGGATTAGAGGTTCCACTCGACCCAGCTATTCCCCTCCCTGGTATCTCCCCGAAAGAATTGAAAGCATCATATCACAGTGATATATGCACAGCCATGTTTATAGGAGCACAGTTTGTAATAGCCAAATCTTGGAAACAGCCCAAATGCCCACCAACCCATTGATGAAGATGTGGCTTTTTGTATACAATGAAGTACTACCCTGCCATAAAGAAGGATGAACTTGAGACCTTGCTGGCTAAATGGATGCACCTTGAGATCATACTCAAGTGAAATAAATCAGACACACATGTTTAAATACTGCATTATTTCTCTGGTATGAGAAACTAAAAATAAAGGCCAAAATTTATAATAGATATTGGGAAATGGGAAGAAAATGTTCAAATGAGAAAGGGAGTAAGGGAGGGAGCAGAAGGAAAGGAAGGAAGCGACAAGAGAAAAAAGAGAATAGAAGGAAAAAATGGCTGGGTGTGGTGGCGCACACCTGTAATCCCAGTACTTGGGAGGCTGAGGCAGGAGGGTCACCAAGAGTTCGAGGCCAGCCTGGGCTACATAGTGAATTCAAAGTCACCCTGAACTGCACAGCAAGAACTTGTCTCCAAAACAACAACAACAAAGAAAAAGGAAAAAATGGAAACAAAGCTCCTGTAAAAAAGGAGAGGAAGAGCGGTTAAAAGGAGGCGGGAGGGGAATGGGAAAGAAGGAAGCAGCAAGATATGTCATGTACAGGTGCAGATTGCCTATGATGAATGTGACCATTAGGTACATCTAAAATGTACCAATAAAAACGTGGGTGGTTGCTGCGTCCAGTGCAGCTCTCGATGTTGGGGAGGTGGGGGAGGACGGCGAGAGGATGAAGAACAGACAGAAACTATACACTGAAAGCTGAGTCAGACAGAGCTCTCCGGGTGGGAGGAAAGGAACTGCTCAGCCACCACAGCGCGTTTATTTATACATTTAGCTGATGTCAGGTGAAACCCCTTTGCCACCATGGCCAGCTTGTTTTCTCTTTTAAAACTGTTCTTACTGAGATAAAATTCCCCACTTAGTCATTTAAAAATATACCAATCAAGCTGGGTACAGTGATGCACACTTATAATCCCAACACTCAGGAGGCTGAGGCAGGAGGATCACTGCAAGTTCAAGACCAGCCTAACCTATACATTGCCGGGATTCCAGCACTGGAGAGACCGAGGCAGGAGAAATGCTTCGAATCTGAGACCAGCCTGGGGTAAGTAGTGCGTTTATGGCCAACCTAAACTACGTAATAGCAAGACTGCCTTAAAAAAAGAAAAAAAAAATTTTTTTTTTTCCCCAGTACCAGGAATCGAACTTATGACCTTGCGCTTGCCAGGCAGGCACTGTGCTGCTGAGCTAAATCCCCAGCCCCTAAAAAAAAAAAAAATTTAATAAAAGAGAGAGATGTATCCAATAGCTGAGGGGTCTTGTGGGAAACTGAACAAACCCTGTTTTTGATTTCTCAGAAAAGACTGTTTTTCAGAAAAAGCCAAGATGGATGTAATAATATCCTATGATATTATTATACCTTTTGTGAGAAACGTTATGCTTCCCCCACAAGAAAAACAGGAGGGGGAAACAGAACTTTGGCTCTGAAAGTCAATATTGGGCTGAGAGGGCCCAGAGCTGAGGAGAGAAGACCCTGGCCCCACCCAGCCGTCCTCTCTGCCAACCTTGGCAGGCGGGGACTTGGGCGGCCCTGCGCGAAGCTGAGGGCTGCTCAGGAGAGAGGGCAGCTGCTTAGGGACCCGGGAGGGACAGAGCCGTGCCCTTCCTGCCCCTCAGAAGCTGCCCACCCAAGGACACTGTCTCCACGCCTCCCAGACTCTGCTGCTGGCCCTGCTGGCACCGCTGGCCCTGGCTACTCTCCCGCTGTCACCCCTGTCCTGAGGAAGTTTGCCTGTCCCAGGCACCCTGCGATCTGCTCCAGGGAAGTCTAAAGTTCAAGGCTTTTGAGCTCAAGGCCTTTCGTGAGGCAGGATGAATGACCCGGGAATGTTCGGGGAGGCTGAGTCAGCCTGTGCCTGGGTCAGGGTGGGGCTGAGGTCAGTGCCCTGCTTCCTCTCCCTACCTCAGGGGGTGGCTGGGCCCTTGAGACTCCTGGGTCACCGCATTGTCCTGCCCGAGAACTGAGCTTCAGGAGAAGGGCAAAGCTGGGGACTCTGCTCCCCTTGAGAACTCTTCCGAGGTGCCGGGGACCTGGGCACCAGGTCAGCAGGGCTTCCTCTTCTGTGTCTGCCTTCCCAGAACCTGCTCTCCCCACCCTCCCAGGGAACTTTTCCTCCCACCTGAAATGGTCCCCAGGGGTCAGGGATACAGCTCAGTGGCACAAGTGCCTGCCTGGCAAGTGCAAGCTCCTGAGTTCGATTCCCAACCACCCCCAAAACATATATATATACATAAATTTAAAAAATGAAATGGTCCCCAAGCTGAGCATGGTGGACACACCTGTGATCCCAGCACTCGGGAGGCTGAGGCAGGAGCACAACCGTGAGTTCAAGGGCAGCCTGGGCTACATATTGAGTTCAAGGCAAGTTTATACTACAAAGTGAGATCCTGTCTCAAAAAACAGAAAAGAAAATAAGTAAAATTTAAAAAGGTCCTCAAACCTCCACAGAGCCTGGCCCTCTCCACACCCTATGGCCTCTAACCTGATTTCCTAAACTCCCCCTTGGCTTCTTTCCCTGTAAAACGGGAATGAAGACAGACTGTCCTTTAGGAGAGTGGCTGTGGGGTGGATCAGGAGCGCACAACACTTCCCGTCACACCTGGGGCTCTGCATGTGGCTGGCTGATGTGAGCCGGGCCTTATGGCACATGCCGGAACATGGGCACTTGGGTGAGGAATACCTGCAGAGGCAGGAGAATCTCTGAGTTCGTGGTCAGCCTGGGGTACATGTGAGACCCTGTCTTGCTGTGACTTTATTACTCTATTGGCTAAACAACCAAAATCTAAGGAGCCCTTTGTATGTGCCAGGATCCTCGCTGGGAGCCTCGGGGGCAGGAGACACTGGCCCAGCTGAAATTGATTTGGAGAAGGAAGACAGGACAACAGCCAATCAAACAGTTCGTAAGCACAGAACCGGCAGTTTCTAAAAATCTGTCAAACCATTCAGAGGTCTCACTGTGCACCTTTGAAAGGAGCGGCTTCCTCTTGGCTGCGACTTTGGGCCCAGATGTTTGCCCAGATGTTCGCCCAGATGTTCCTGTCACCCACCCACGGTCGGGCAGGGCCTCCCCAGCGATGCAGCCCCCGCGGCAGTTGCGGCCAGGCCTCGACCCAGCCTCCCGCTCAGGGAGTCCTGCTCTGTGTGCAGGGAGGAGGGGAACTTTGTCCCCAGCGACGACGCGGGCGGGAGGAGCCCCGTCTTCGGTCTGAGGAGGAGGATGCAGACGGGGGTGGGCCGGGCCGGGGTGTCCAGGGCCTTCATCCCAGACTGGCCGAAGGGACCACGCCTGAGGGTGGGGAGGAGCCAGTGCCAGGCGCCCTAGGATCAAATTCCTCCAGGCTGAGCTCTGGAGACAGCAGGTTGGCTCGGGAGGCCTGAAGAGGGAGAGAGCCGGAGGGGACAGCTCGGTCAGTCGCCTGCCCCGCCTGGTCCTCTGGAAAAGGCAGCAGCCAGCAGAACCCGGCGGGAGCCACCCCCCTGTGCCTCCACCTGCCTACCCTGCCTGCCCGAGAGACAGCGGACGATGGAACCGGGCAGGACTCAGATAAAACTTGACCCCAGGTAAGCGAGGCCCTGGGCCGGCTGCCCGTTGCTAAGCGATAGTGGCCCCTATCACACTGGGCTGCCCCTCCCTCTCGCCCTATCCTTTGGCTCCCAGCACTCAGAAGAGACTCGGCTGAGTGGCCTAGTTGTGCCCTGGGCCTGCAGAGAACCTGGGATGGGCCGGCCTGGGACCCCTTTGGGGCGCTGGCTCTGCCCTGCAGGCTGGGAAGAGAAAGATCCCAGAGAGGTGGGGTGTGGTGGTGCATTCCTATAATCCCAGTGCTGGGGAGGCTGAGGCAGGAGGATCACTGTGAGTTCAAAGCCAGCCTGGGCTACATGGTGAGATCCTGTCTCAACAACAACAACAAAAAATCCCAGAGGAAAGGTGGTGGAGGTGTGCCAAGAATCACACAGAGCCCCTGGCCGTCAGGGCCATCCCCTGTGTGCAGGGCTACTCTTTCCCAGGGGCCCCGCTGGCCAGCCCATAGGCTCTTCTCTGGGGAAGCAAAAGAACTAGGACTTCTTTGGCCACCGCAGCCAGGTTTGCCCAGCAACTGGCAGCTCATCTTATACACTCACCTGGCCTCGTTCTCCATCCTAAGAAGCAGGTCCCCAGCGGGGGGTGGTGGCACACACCTATAATCCCAGCACTTGGGAGGCTGAGGCAGGAGGCTCTCTAGTTCAAGTCCAGCCTGGGTCATTTAGTGACTTAGTGAGAGTCCGCCTCAAAATAAGAAAAGGCCTGGGATGTAGCTCAGTGCAGAGGCTTGGGTTTGATCACCAGCTTCCCAGCCCCACGGTTCAAAACTCAGATGCCATTTCTCCAGGTACACGGCAGAGCTCGTGGAAGTGCTGAGAACCAATTACAGCGTCCCAGCTGCCTGCTTCTCGTACCCTCCGACGGCAGCCCAGCTCCTGCAAGGTGAGTCTCCCCACACCCCAGGTGGAGCTGTGCACCCCAGCTGGGAGTCAGGACAGCCAGGAGCTGGGGCACAGGGGTCCTGAGCAGGCCGCCTGGACAGCCTGGGAGTGGCCAGCCTCCCATCTGTCTTGGCCATGGTCAACTCCCCAAATGATTCAAGTCCCACAGGGTCCTCTGGCCTGGAATCCCAGCACTCTGGAGGCTGAGGCAGGAGGATCACCCTGAGTTCAAGGCCAGCCTGAATTACATAGCCAGACCCTGCCTCAAACAAACAAACCAAAAACACCCTCCTCGGGAAGGATCCACTGCGCTCACAGCAGTGGTTGTTGTGAGCAGGGAGCTTGGCTTGGTGACCTCATGGCAGAGCTGCTTTTCAAAGTGAAAGGCCTAAATTGGGACTCATTTCTCTCCCTGCAGAGAAAAACAGGTTCCAACGCCCTGCAATACTCTAGCAAATGCTTTGCAGGCATGTTTTGTTTTTCTGCCCTGGCATCCCCGCCTCTGAGCTGTGGAGCAGAAACCTCTGTTTCACACTGTGCTCCCCGACCCTCCAGATGTCCCCTCGAGCGGGCGCTATCAGGGTGCATGGGGCGTGGGCGTGGCTGTTGGCCGGCACAGCTCCGTTCTCCACATCCGGGTCCTTGCGTGTGCTGCCACCCGCCAGGGCATCCTGAGCTGCCAGTTGGTGCGGAGGGTTGGTGCCACGGGGCTGCTCTCCCCAGCTCCAGAGCCGCCTGCTCCGAGGGCAGCAGGTGGCCAAGGCTCCCTCACGCAGGGGACTCTCAGCCCAAGGGACACTGGGCAATGTCTGGGGACAGTTTGGGTTGCCACACTGGAGGCTGCCACTAGCATCTGGCGGGCAGAGGCCAGGAGGCTGCAGAGTCTCCCGTGGCGCCCAGGGCCGTCCCCTACAACAAGGACAGGTGTCACTAGTGCTCAGGTTGAGAAACCTTGCCTGACACAGAGAAACAGCTCTCAAGCTGCTCTGCTTAAAAATGTGCAAAAAGAGCCCCAAGGGTGAGCAAAGCAGGGGACCGTTCTGGGTCTGGCAGTCAGGTGGGCAGAGCAGGTGGGGCCCAGGCGTGCCGAGCGGGTCATGGGCACTCCGAGGGCCCTGACGGTGACAAAATGAGACACAAGGGAGCTCGGTCTGGCCAGATTCAAGGTTGCGGTGGGGAGCGGGGACAACTGAGGGGGCCGGGCAGGGAAGCGGCGCCTGCTGAGTGGTGTACTTTATCCTAGGGCCAAGCGGCGGGCGGGGCTGGGCAGCGCTTGCTTGGGGACGTTAATCAGTAATGGGGTGGCGGGGCCTGGAGAAGCAGGGAGATGAATGAGAGGTCATTGCCCCTCGCCCCAGGGAGAGGAGGCCTGAGCGTGTCCGAGGAGGAGGACGCTGGGATTGGGAGTGCCCGAGAAGGGCTGGAGCTGGTGAACATGTAGAAGAGTGCAGGTCTGGGCTGGGTCAGGCAGCGACATAGGAACGGGAAGCGGAGGATGGACGACGTGGTGAAACTCCCTGCTTTGCTTCCTTTGTAACTGCCACGGTTTCCTAAATCATTATTTCTTAAGTCACTACTTAAGAAAGAGCTATTCTGTTTTTTGTTTCTTTCTTTGTTTTTTTTGAGGGTACTGGGAATTGAACTCAGGCCCTCACACTTGCCAGGCAGGTGCTGTGCTGCTGAGCTACATGCCTGACCCATTGTTTGTTTTTTGAGACAGGATCTCGCTGTGTAGTACAGGCTGCCCTGGAACTCACAGTGATCCTCCTGCCTCAGCCTCCCAAGTGCTGTGATTAGAGTCATGCACCACCACTCCCCACCACAGCCTATACTCTTAACCTCCAGGAAGCAAACATGCAAGAATGGACAAGTTAGCAGGGTATGGTGGCGCACGCCTGTAATCTCAGCACTCGGAGGCTGAGGCAGGAGGATCGTTGCGAGTTTGAAACCAGCCTGGACTACAAAGTGAGCTCAAGTCCAGTCTGAACTGCAGAGCGAGACCCTGTCCCAAAAAGACAAAAAAAAAAAAAAAAAAGGCAATGATCTTTAAGGTAGAGTTTGGTTAATTTTTGCCTACAAAAAAATCTATAAACCCATCACACAGATGAAGATATAAATCCTTTGAGCAGTAACAGAGTTTCTTTGACCCCTCACTGGCATGTCCTGGCAACGCCACTGAACGTTCACCACCGAGTGGACCAAGCTCCCTACCTCGGCCTGGAGAGAGCACAGGAGTCTGGGCCCTGGCTCCCTCCCTTCGGTTGTCGTCCTGTTTCTACGGTTCTCTGTTGTGTTGTGTTTATTTGATGTGTTCTTTCCCATCGCTTCGTGGGATCTCGCCATGGGTGCGTCACCACGCCCTCAACTGTACTTTCCTTGTCGAGTGCTAGGCTGCTCCTAGTGTGGCCATTCTGAGCTGTGCTGCTAGGAACCATCTCGGGGGATTTTAACTACTTGGTTCTATGGGGTGTGTGTCTGAGAAGGGAGTCGCTGTGTCACAGGGTAGTTACACGTTTAGTTTTAATAAACACTGCCAAGCTGGGCATGGTGATGCACACCTGCAATCCCAGCACTCGGGAGGCTGAGGCAGGAGGATCGTTGTGAGTTCGGGACCAGCCTGGGCTACAAAGTGAGCACAAAGCCAGCCTGAACTGCATCGCGAGACCCTGTCTCAAAAAGACTAAAAAGTAAATAAATAAATAAATAAATAAATAAATAAATAAACACTGCCAAATTTTTTGTGGGTACCTTTGTCATAAATCAAGTGAACAAATATATATGAGTCTGCTAATATTTTTTTAAAATATTGTTACACACTCATTGCAAAGATTCTTGATGGTATGCTCATATTTTTCATGTTTATATACTACTTTGTTGGGTGATTGACTTAATATTTCCGATATCATTGGGCATTTGTTACTAATTTAAAGCTGCTAGTCAATCACAGCATTAATAAATTATAAGTAATACGTCATTTTGTGTTTCTCTCGCTGTACTCGGGGAGTCTTTTCCCACGTGCTGTGAGTGAGGTCAGTATTATTTACTGATTCCTCTGCAAGAGCCTCCTCCTATTTTTACTGCCGTTTTTTAAGCAATAGAGATCTTAAACCTGAGCGCACATTGTTTGGTTTTGTTTGTTTGTTTTTGTCTTTGTTTTTTTTCGGTACCGGGAATTGAACTCACAACCTTGCGCTTGCCGGGCAGGCGCTGTGCCGCTGAGCTACATCCCCAGCCCCCTGAGCGTACATTGTTAAAAATGCTTTCCTCCCGTCTGCTGCCGCTTTCTCCTTCTAACACTCAGGAACTGGAACTGTTGGTACTGACTTTGACAGCTACTCGCTCTGCAAATTTGGGGCTTACTCTGATGCTTAGGTGGGTCTTCCCTCTCCAGTGTTTCAGTGAACACACAGTTCTCTTCTTTTTCCAACTTCTCTATTTGATTTTCAAAGACATATCTTTAACACATCTGGAATTATTTTGATGTATGAGAGGTTTTATATGTACGTCTATGATCATTTTATTTTATTTTTTGAGACAGGGTCTGCTATATAGTCTAGGCTGGTCTTGAACTCACCATGGAGCCCAGGCTGGCCTTGAACCCATGGTGATCCTCCTGCCTCAGCCTCCTGAGTGCTGGGATTATAGTACAGGCCTGTGCCACCATGCCTAGCTTCTGTAAGTGCCTTGTGAAAAAGGCATGGAACCAGTGTTTTGAAGTCACACAGCCCATAGGGACAGATGGGTTCCGCTCTCAGCTGACTGGCCTCTTCTTCCTCCGCTCCAGCCCTGGGCCCTGTGGAAATAGCCCTCACGGTCATCATGACCCTCCTGGCCCTGGGCTCGGTGGGCCTCTTCCTGGAGGATGCCATCTACCTGCACAGGAACACTGGCTGTCCCATCAAGCGCAGGACCCTGCTGTGGAGCAGCTCTGCACCCACGGTGAGGCCCGGAGCTGCCCTGGGGCTGGAAGGGGGCAGGACACACAGTATGTCTGCAGGTTCTGCCTGCTGCTGCCTCCTGGGCTGAGGGGCAGAGGGTCAGGGCGGGGGTGGGGATTGGGAGGCCAGCGGGCAGCTCCACTTCCGAGGGTGTGAACAACTGGAGCGCCTGCTCGGCCCAGGGGCACGGCCCCTCCTGCTCCCTGCCACAGCAGCGCTGAAGATCAAGAAGGCAGTCGCTCGCTATGGGGCCGGCAAGCTGGTGGCGCCATGGGCAATCCCGCACTCAGGAGACAGGCAGGAAGATCGCCCAGAGTTCAAGGCCAGCCTGGGCTGCAGAGTGAGCTTGAGCCCAGCCTAGACTATACAGTGAGACCCTGTCTCAAAAACAAAACAAACACAACAGTGCTAAGGCAGGCAGCAGCTCCCACAGTGCACGAGGGAACGACTTGCCCTGGAGCCGTCACCTCGCTTGTTGGTTTCCTGACTTATTTTTCCAATTGCAACTTTTGGTTTTTATTGTGTGTTTTAGTGCCGGGGATAGAGCTGGCCTCGCAGGTGCTGAGCGTGGGCCCTCTGCCCCTGCTCAGGACGCACCCCAGGCCCGCCCCCTCCCCTCCCCTAAGGCCCCCGCCCCTCCGCACGCAGGTGGTGTCGGTGCTGTGCTGCTTCGGCCTCTGGATCCCTCGCTCGCTCACGCTCGTGGAAATGGCCATCGTCGCGTGAGTGTCGGCCCACCCCGGCTCTGGGCGGCAGTGCCGTGGGTCCGCTCCGCTGCTGGGCCTCGCTTCCAGGCCTGTAGTCCCGCTGGTCAGGAATCTGCCCTCCGGCTGTGTGACCCGAAGCTCTTGAGCTTCTGGTTCTGCCCAAGACCTGACTTACTCGGGCACATTCTGTCACCTCTTTGTGCCCATAGCCCAAGCTTCCTTCTATCCAGGTCCCTCTCTCTCCCCTTGGGTCACAGTCCAGAGCGCCAGCCCCATCACCTCCCCCACCCCCACCCCGTCCCCAGTCTCTCTTCTCCAGTGGCAAAGGGGTGTCTCCGCAGCTGCCCCACCAAGGACCTGCCACCTGCTTCTCCCGCCCAGGTTTTACGCACTGTGCTTTTACCTGCTCATGCTGGTCATGGTGGAGGGCTTCGGCGGAAAGGAGGTAGTGCTGAGGACGCTGAAGGACACCCCGATGAGGATCCACACGGGGCCCTGCTGCTGCTGCTGCCCCTGCTGCCCCCATCTGCAGCTCACCAGGTGAGGTGAAGCTGAGGGTGGGAGAGAGGCCGCTGCACCCTGGAAGGGGAAGCCACTCCCCAGGAACCGGTGGGCCGCGGCCTTGCCCCTCTGCCCACGGCGGCTGATGCACTGGAGGTCACACCCTTGGCTCCACCCAGGGCAGGTGCTGGTGTGGAGGGGAGGGGGGCAAGGAGTCCGAGGCTTCCTGTCCCATCCACGGAGCTGGGGGCTGTGAGGCCCGGGCGGCGGGGAGGCGTCCCGGGTGGGTGGGGCCACGTGCCGCCCTCGCCCCGCAGGAGGAAGCTGCAGCTGCTGATGCTGGGCCCTTTCCAGTACGCCTTCTTCAGGATCTCACTGGCCCTGGTCGGACTCTTTCTCATCCCCGACGGCATCTACGACCCAGCAGATGTAAGCCCGGAGGAGGGGGTGGTAAAGTCCAAGATCCCTCGGCACCTTTGGGCTCCAGCAGCCCCAGCCCCAGGGCCCCAGGGACAAGGAGGCTGTGGCCAAGTCGAGGCCCAGGAACTCCAGGGGAGGGAGATGAGGCTGGAGCTGGCCAGTGCTCTGCGGCCTTCTGGTCACTCCCCACGACGCGGGAGAGAAGCCTGAGGAGGTCAGGGCCACTCCCTCCTGACGGCTCCGGGGCTGCCCCCAGATCTCCGAGAAGAGCACCGCGCTCTGGATCAACACTGTGATGGGCGTGTCCACCTTGCTGGCTCTCTGGGCCCTGGGCATCCTCTTCCGTCAGGCCAAGCTGCACCTGGGCGAGCAGAACATGGGCGCCAAATTCGCGCTGTTCCAGGTAACTACGCCGCGGAGGGAGAGCTGCTTCCTAACGTAGATGCCGACGTCAACTAGGGGGAGGAGGCTGGAGCTATAAGAGCTAAAAGCAGGACTGAAAATCCTCCCCTTGACGGTGGTTTCCTGGGAAACTGGGGAGATGATCTCTGCCCTTCTCATTTTCTTGTTGGCCTTCTGTAATGTAGTTTTCAGGGCCGCCATAACAAAAATAGCACAAGCCAGGTGACTGGGAACCACGGGTTCTGGAGGCCGGAAGTCCAAAAGCAAGGTGTGCACAGGGCCACGCCCCTCCGAAGCCCGAGGAGAATCCTGCCTTGCTCTGCTCCCTCCTGGAGGCCGCCAGCCTTGGAATCCCCTGGCGGCTGCTCTCCATGCCGTCCCTGCCTCCGTGGTCACATCCTCTACTTCTGTGACAGCGTCCTGCTGGGTGAAGGGCCACCCCATGCATCATGGGCTCACCTCGACTAATTATATCAGCAGTGATTCTAAAGTAACTGTTTCTAAATAAGGACATCCTGAGGTGCCCGGGGACAGAACTCAGTATCTTTTTGGGGGGATACAATTCAACCCGTAACACATACATGAACAGACCTTCTTACATTTTTCTACCTATTACTGCAGAAAGCCCTGTAATTCATTACCACTGCCAACACTGACGCTCTTTAACCACAGCTATTAACTACCTACACCAGGCACTTTGTATATGTTCTTGTAAATGACCACAACAATCGTAGGAGTCATCATTATCCCTATTTCGGGCAGAGAAACCGAGACCCAGAGACACGCTGAGGATTGCCCTCAGGCGGAGGAGGGACGGAACTAGAACTTAAACAGCTCCAGCGCCAAGCCCCCTTTCTCCTTCTCCTTGCACTGCCTCATCACTTTTGCAGCTCTCAGGAAAAGTCTGCCAAAGGCACACTTGTCTACCTCCTAGGCTTTACACTCTTAAATGCTAAGGTGACTTTTCCGCCAAGCGCAGTGCCGTGACCCACCCTGGCGACCCTCCTCTCTTCCTTCACATCTCCTTACCTCTCACACCCTCAGGCGTAGCTGACCGCTGTTAGCAGGCGGACTTCACATGCGTGCTCGCTGGTCTACACAAATGCCATTCATATGTGAATGTCTAGCACGATGCCTGTCTTCAGCTTTTGTCTTCCTCAACTTTTTTTTTTTTTTTTTTTTTTTTTTTTTCCAGACAGAGTCTTATGCTGTTCAGGCTGGCCTTAAATTCACTGTGTAAATCAGGCGTGGTGACGCAGGCCTGTAATCCCAGCACTCGGGAGGCTGAGGCAGCAGGATCGTTGTGAATTTGAGACCAGCCTGGGCTACAAAATGAGCTCAAGGCCAGCCTGCACTGCATAGTGAGATTTTGTCTCAAAAAAAAAAAAAAAGACAAAAAACAACAAAAAAATTTCACTGTGTAGCCCAGGCTGACCTTGAACTTAGGAAGATCCTTCTGCCTCAGCCTCCTGAGCATTGGGATTACAGGTGTGCACCACCACGGCCAGCTCATCTTTTCTTTTTACTGTCATGAAATAATCGTAGAATTTACCCTCTTAGTGATTTTGAGTATTCGGTCCGGTGGCGGTGAAGACATTTACACCAATGTGCACTATCTGTGGTGAGGGGGTTTTTCACCTTCCCCACCTCAAAGTCTGCGCCAGCTGTTTGAACTGCCCATTGCTCCTCCCCTCCGGCCCCTGGCAGGGCAGTTTCCAAAGAGCTTTCAGTTGCGGCCCATGTTCTAGGTACTTGGACCAGATGGACTTTCCCTGCCTCAGTCACCCGCCCTTCTCACCCATTAGTGGCCATTAGTGCCCATGGTTAAGAGTGGCGGCAGCTCCTTGCCAGCGGCTCTAGTAACACATTGGGTAGAAGACTGTACTTTGCTTAAATATTAAAACTCCACATGTTGGCAAGCAAGCGTGAGCCCCAGCGCTCCGTGACCCAGGGACCGAGGGGCAGGCGGGCAGGAGCGCGAAGGACTCGGCCCTCGCACAGCGCGCCTCTCCCCGCTCGCAGGTGCTCCTCATCCTGACTGCGCTGCAGCCCGCCATCTTCTCCGTCCTGGCCAACGGCGGCCAGATTGCTTGCTCACCTCCCTACTCCTCCAAGATCCGCTCTCAGGGTGAGCGCTGTGCAGTGGTCGAGATGTGGGTGGGTCAGAGGAGAGAGGCTTGGAACAGGTGGACCTCACCTCCGCCCTCAAGGGGCAAGGGGCCGAAGAGGTCCACGCAGGGCTTCCGGGGCTGTGGTCCCACAGCAGCCTGCAGCCAGGCTCGACGGCCGCCCCAGGAAGCCAGGGGCCCAGGCCTGCGCTGCTGAGAGGAAGGAGATCGCAGACTGAACACGCATAGGAAAAGCGGCCTCAGACTGGCCTCAGATCAGAGGCTAGGGAGCCACATCCGGGTTCTCGCTCCACCACGAATCTGCTTTGTCATTCTGAGACGTGGGTCCGTGGAGGCACCGTCCCTGGGCGCACTGGCCAGGGCTGCTAGGGGGCTGTCCCACCTGCGGCCTGACACATGACCCGCCCCATCCCACCCCGCAGTGATGAACTGCCACCTCCTCATCCCGGAGACGTTCCTGCTGACTGTGCTGACGCGGAGGTACTACCGAAGGAAAGACTACAAGGCTGGGCATGAAATTTGCTCATCTGCAGCCATGGACATGAGCTCGGAGGCCTGAGGGGCGGCCCAGACCGTGGGGAGATGCTGCACTCGCAGGAGAGCGCAAGGTTTCACAGCCCCCAAACCCGACCAAGCAGGCGAGCACTTCCAGTGTCGGCCACCAGGCCGGCAAAAACCAGGCTGGGGATGGGAAGGTAAACTGTGTGATATGATGACATTATTGTGGATCTTGCCCAGGAAGGTATTTTAAATTTTATAATAAACAACCAGGACAAAGCCCGAGAGTCTGTAACTGGGCACAGGGCACGCTGCTTCTGTGGGTGTCCCCATCACCCTGCCTGTGTGTTGAAAGGTCAGCGAGAGGCAGGCAGGAAAGTGGTGGGTGGGTAAGAGCGGGAGGCTCTGGCCGGAAAAAACCGCACACCGAGTTTTCCTTACAAATGTGTCACTGGGGCCCTGACAACAGGCCGGGAGGAAGGGAGCTTCCTTTCAGGAATCACTAAGCTTTGTGAGTTTCTGTGCCTGGCTGCAAAAGGAAGTGTCCAACCATATGGACGCTGCTGGTTCTGAGAGAAATCAGGATGCAAACGCAGAGGAACTTAAAGTCCAAGGAAAACTCCCAGGTCATAAGACACACACACGCGTGCATAAAACACACAACTGGAATGCTAGGTAAAACCACATTGCCTTTATTTGGCTAAATGACAAAAGCCAACGTAACTCTGAACAAATGAATCACAGATGGGAACAATGCTATTGAACCCACTGGAGGCAAACTCCCCGCGGCCTTGTCCCAGGCAGGCACTGTGCCCCGGCCGCGGTTCTCTCCGACACTGTCATCCCTGCAGGCAGGATCCTCCGTACAAAATACCCACCAAGCCCTCTCGGTGTTTCAGTCATTGCCTCCCCAAACCTGGGTGGAAGGCCCGCTTCAACCTAAAGGGACGCGCTCTGGGTCATCCTGGTTAATCCCAGTCCGAGTATTAACATAATACTTTGGCAGACAGAAAAATCTTTCTTCTTTTTAAGACAATTAATGTTTAATGATATAACTCCCAAGAACATGTTCTGCTTATCTGGAAAAATAGAGGCTAGGGACAACTCTTTCGCCCATGACAATCTATGAGAGAAAACAAGAGCCAAAAATATAACCTTTAAAAATACTTACATTGGTAAGCCTTTAAAATGCCACTAGTTGTAAAACACTATTAAGGGAGCTTGTAAAAAAAATTCCTCTTTCCCTGTATTGGTTCAGCTTCTGGTGAGCATCCGATGACAGAAAACCTAGAAGCGATGGCTTTTAGGGAATGAAAAGGAAGCAGCAAAATGGAATGGACTAGAGGGATGTGGAACAGGGCGAAGAAGGCAACAAGCTCCAGGAAGGAAGGTGCCCGCAAGTGACAAGTAACCCAGAAATGGAGTGCCGAAGCACTGGGGACGTTCTAGCGCTGCCCGACCAGCTCCCAGCTGCCATCACTCAGGCGCTGCTGGATGATCAGCGATCAGAAAGAATCCAAAGTTACTCAATCTCCTTCACATTTTTTCTCTCCTTCAGGATTTTCTTTTTTCTGGCTTGAGATAGGGTCTATGTAATTGAGGCTAACCTCAACTTCACGGTGACTCTCCTGCTTCAGCCTGTGCTGGGACTACAGGTGTGCGCCACCACGCCCAGCTGCCTTTAGGATTTTTTTTTTTGTCTCTCTGAGACAGGGTCTCACTATGCAGTTCAGGCTGGCCTTGAGCTCACTTTGTAGCTCACGCTGGTCTCGGACTCACAACGATCCTCCTGCCCCAGGCTCCCGAGTGCTGGGATTACAGGCGTGCGCCACCACGCCCGGCCTTATGATTTTCAACCTCCTCGCATCCCAACCTTCTCCCCATGTTTCTGCAAAGTAAGGGTCTTTGGCTTTAGCTACCAGAAGCACGGCAGCAGAACGAGCACTCCATTTCCTAAATCTTCAGTCTCTACTTGTCAGCGCTGCTCTGCATAGAGTATGAGAAGGTCGCCGCTGAGACGGTGCCTCCTCAGTGCTGGCGCCAGGGCTCTACCGCCGGCCTCCTCTTGTCCTGCAGCCTGGGCTCTGAGGCCGAGCAGCTTCCAAGGCTTGCCCCTTCGGCAATGCCTGGCCCACCCAGGCAGGCAGCTCTCCTGTGTAGGATTCAGAGAGCAGCTCCTGGCCTCAAATGCTCCCACGTGAACAGCTCCAGGCCCCGGGCCAGGTCACGGGGGACAGACCTCTAGCCTCACTTCACTGGGCACAGACGACCCTCAGGGAGGGCATCATTCCCACAGCACCATGGATCATGAGCTGCCCCGAAGGATCTGACCTGCCACACCGTGAAACTTTCTGCTTTCAGCCCAAGTTAATCTAAGAATGTACCATGTTGGAAAGCTAAGGCAGGCAAAGGGCAGGGAGCCTCCTAGGCACAGGTACCCAGGCCGGCCCAGCCTTGTCATGCCCTGTCCGCCAAGCGCATCTGAGTAAGAGGAAGGCGTGGCCGAGCAGGGCTGAGCAACACCGGGGGGCCGAGGTGCCAGGGCGAGCGAGGAGACCTGCGCGGGTCTGGGGGCCGCTCCTCTGTAGCGGGGTGGCACAGGCACGCCCAGAACAAGCAGGCGGGTTTCAGCAGCGACTTCCCTGGCTCTCCATTCCGGGAAGAGTAAGGCAGAAACAGGCAGCATTCCTAAGAGGGAGCGCCCAAGCAGAAACGTTAGAACACGGGCTGACATGAAGCTGTGTATGTAGGAAGACGTCGACTTCTGCTGTCCCAGAGACAGAGCTCCAGGCCGAGGCTGGGGCAGCCAGACTGGATGGGAGGAAGGGCGCGTTAGGAGAGGAGCTAGAAATGCAGTTCCGTCCTCTGTCCCTCTGCCCAGCGGTTCCCACCCGCCTGGCCCTCCGAGCTAGGCCTAGGTAGTCATGCTGCAAAGGCAGAAGTGCAGCCGTGACCAGGAAGCATCAGGGAGGACCGTGAGATCCTCGGAGTCCTGGCGCGGGGCTATGAAAGAGCAAGTGTGGTTTCCCTTGCTGAACACACAGACGCGTACCCTGTGAGGGGTAGTTCTGAGTGGTAGGGGTGGGGCTCGGACACAAACACATGCCCCAGTCCGAGACAGGATCTTGGATGGTCACACGGCTGACCTGGCAGGACGCTGAGGGACCCCAAATCAGAGTGTGCTCAGCAGCAAGCGGCGAGCATCAGCACTCTCTGATCTGAAGTTCAAATGCCGACGGCAGCCGAGGTGGGGCGGGAGCACGGTGCCAGGCACAGGCGGGACAGGGGAGAGCCCAGGCCAGAAGTCCCCGCTGTGCAGCCCCCAGACGGGAAGAAAGCCTCCACCTGCATCTCAGCAAGCACGCTGGTAAGAGCGCAGAGGGCAGGCTAAGGCTGTGGCTTTAAAAGGAAGGTGTTTCTTCGTGTGCTGACCTCCGTGTCTCACGCCCACCTGCACTCAGTACTCTGAGCAGCGGGGTAAAGGGACCAAGCCCCGGCCGCAGCCGCTCTGTCAGAGGCTACGAGCACTGAGACAGGCGGCCGGGCCAGAGCAGGCCTCCCAGCAGGAGGTGGATCTGAACAGACTTTGTGCAGGGCTGGTTCCGTCCCACTCCCCCTCCGGTCACCATAACCCTCAAAGCGTCCTTCCTTCAAGGGCAGGGTGCAGGAGACAGGCTGAGGACAGCTCCCACATAACCGAGCAACAGCACGTTCTGAGAAGACGAACACAGAGGAGAGACTGCGGCTGACGCCGCGCCCGTCAGTATCTTCACGGACCCCACTGGGTCAACAAGAAACTCCTCAGGGAGTAAGAAAAGCTAGGCTCAGATCCTCTTCCCACAGCCACGCCAAGAGCACAGCCAGGGGACTGGTGGAGTCACTGGCAGTTTTAAGGACACGGAGGCCATGCCCTTCCCCCACACTGCCGTCTGCACGGCTCCACAGTGCGGGAGGAAAAGGCCGCTGGGTGCTACACGGCCTCCTCCTTCTGCCCACACCTCAGGGCAGAAAGTTAGACCTACTTACTATATTTGAAAGGCTATTTTTAAAAAATTAATAAAAATGACAATTTCCCTGTCAAGATCACATGAACAGAACCAGTGAAGCAAAGTCCTCGGGGCGGGGTGGGAGGGTGCAGCAGGCTTCTAAGGCGCAGCCAGCCCCCCGGGTGTGGTGACAGATGTCTCTTAAGGGTGGGCCGGGGTTCCCCATTCCTACGTCCTCTTGCCCCCAAGTTCTTTCCTTTGTAGCTGTCCTTAGGCTTAGTGTTAGGATCACAATGCGGAATCGAGAGAGCTTCTGAAGGTGACAGAATAGAGGGAGGGAGAGGAAAGGGATGCGAGTTAGTCTTCTTCATCCTCACTGATGTCGTAGGCCACTGCCTTGCGCCTAGAGAGACCGGCCGGGGAGGAGGGGGGGGACGTCTTGCCGGAGAAGGGCCAGCGGAAGGAGGGGGAGGGGGAGCGCTCCCGGGTCGGGCTGCTGCTGGGGCTCTGCTTGGGGCTGATGGCCTGCAGCATCCGGCCTTTTCCCTCTTTCAGCATGTGTTTCTGGGGAGACCAAAAGGAAGAGTTAGCAGACACCGAGGAACCAGCTAGGTCACCGCTGGGACACCCGAGACTTCAAAGAGCACCATGTCCTGTGATCTGTGTTTTCTGGACGGCCCGGGATCAGACCCAGGGCCTCAGGCTGCTAGCACAGCGCTCTTATTACCAGGCCGGAGTCCCAGCCGCTGCTGTGCCAGGCTGGCCTGAGTCTGCCAGAGGAGAGGCAGCCATGATTCTCAGTGATTTCCTCTGGAAAATGCTCTATACTAGTGATGGTGAACCTTCTAGAGCTTTCAATGATATTAACAGCCCACTGCGACACAAGTGCCATAGGTTCGCCACCACTGCTATGCTGTGCTGTGTACTGCTCCCACAGCCACCAGGGCTCCCATCCACTACCCAGTCACCACGTCCTTCTATGTCAAGGGAATTCTTTGCAGACTACTTAGTCTGTAATCCAGTTTCCAGGAAAAAAACAAAGGAACTAATTCCGACGAATGGGATCTAGCTCAGTTTCTTGTTGTTTTGTCTTAGTTTTGGTTTTTTGAGACAAAGTCTCCCTATGTAGTTCAGGCTGGTCTTGAACTCACTATGGAGCCCAGGCTGACCTCAAACTCATGGTGATCCTCCTGCCTCAACCTTCTGAGTTCAAGGATTATGGACATGTGCCACCATCCCTGGCTAACCCGGTTTTTTTTAGTTCTCTGAAAAAGGAATTCCCACATTCTTCCCCAAAAAACTGATTCCATAGCCAACATCCCCTGGTCAGATTGTTCCGGATCTGCCTGGGTCCCACTTCCCCTGGGTCCCACCACAGCTCTGCAGTGAAGGCAGCTTTTTCACTGTTCTTTATTCTTTCCTTTCCTTCCATCAAAACCATACTGTAGAGAAGTGCGATGGACGAAGCTACTAGCTTATCTTGTCACCAGACTGTGGGGTTGGGGAACAGCTGGCAAGATTGTTTAGGAAAATGTGACTTCTTTCTGGAAGGATTTGAAAGAACGTTTGAGGGGGGGGAACAGGTTAGGTAGCTTCTTAATGTTGATGTGCCTTTCTGCTTAAGGGTTCTGTGATTCTTTCCTCAGCACAGAGGTTCCCTGAATTTCCCCGAAATTCCCTCAATTGTCCAGTGGGAAAGAACCATACCAGTGCTCCTTCTGGGCCGAACATTTCCAGGAAATTGCCGATGAATTCTCGGGACTTCTCCTCCCATTTCTGGATGAGGTCAATGCTTTTTTCCTCCACCTTCTGAACAAATTCTTTGGACCTTTCCTCCACATCTTTTACTTTCTTCTTGACTTTGTCAACCCGCTCCTGCAGGTGATACTTCTTCTCCTGGGTGAAGAGGTGACAGCTGTGAGAAATAATACCCACCTGACCTGCCCTACCGAAAGAAAGAGAAAAAGTGGCTACTGACACTGTTTTCAGTGCTTGTAGTTTTGCTTTGCTTTAATCTACTCTACATGAATCTTATCCCGCCCACTAATAGAAAAGACGAACTCTGGACCGGCACTGTATACACAGTGTGCTAATTCAGGCACGGCCCACTTACAGGTGTGCAGCCAAATGAAGTCAGGTTTAAAATAAAACCAACAGGATGCCAGGCATGGTGCAGCACGCCTGTAACCCCAGCACTCGGGAGGCTGAGGCAGGAGGATTGCTGCGAGTTCGAGACCAGCCTGGGCTACAAAGAGAGCTTAAGGCCAGCCTGCACTGCATAGCGAGACCCTGGCTCAAAAAGACAAAAAAAAAAAAAAGAAAGAAAGAAAAACCCAGCGTGACGCAAACCTCTTTTTGGATGGAGATGTTTAGGCAGCAAGAAGACCCAAGAATAGGCCCATTATAATAGAGTGGAGCTACAAGTACTAGATCTTTATTTATCTATTGTACTGGATTTTTTTCCTATTACTGGTTTATTTTATGATTTTAGATGAGTTGTGTTTTATTTTTTAGTATTTGAAGGTCCATTTACTCATTTGCAAAATGAAGATGACATTCTCTGGTCCTACCAACTTCCTAAAGATAAGGAAAAATAGGATGAGTTGCCTTGTATGTGTATGTGTTTGGGGGGTGTTTATGAAATGAAAACTCATAATTGCCAGATCATAAGAAGATGATGAGCTGGGCATGGTAGTGCACACCTGTAATCTCAGCACTTGTGAGGCTGAGGCAGGAGGATCGCTGTGAGTTCAAGGCTGGCCTGGGCTACACAGTGAGTTCAGGACCAGCCTGAACTACATGGTGATACCTTGTCTCAAAAAAAAACAAAAACAAAAACAAAAAACTCCACACAGGGAATGTAAACATTACGTTCTGTAAACATGTACCTATAAATAAGTAAATGTAAAAAAAAGAAGACAAAAAGGGAGAAGAGTTAGGGTGTGATTCAGTGATAAAGTACACACTTAGTTGTTTTGCTTTGTTTGTCTTTTTGAGACAAGGTCCCACTATGCAGTGAGACCGGCCTTAAGCCTAAATTCAGGCAAGTGCTGGGGTTACAGGCGTGCACCACCATGCCCGGCACATGCTTAGTTGTGCCAGGACCTAGGAAGGAAAGTGAACGGAGGGAGGAAGATGGAGAAAAGGAGGAAGGAGGGGAAGAAGGAAAAGGAGGAAAGAAATAAGGAACTATGTTTAAGGCTTTCAATTAAAAAAAATTTTTTTTACTGGCCTGTGTCTGCAGTACATGACTCCACTCCTCGTGAGGAGCTAGCAATGCACACGACACATGTAACCCTTTCTACTTCTCTCTCTCCTCTCCATCCCTTGCTCTCCTTTCCATCTGCAAAAGATCTGTCTCTGCTGAGGGTTTAAACACCTGAGTCTTACGGGGAAATAAGATTCTACACCAGATGGATTACCAACAGCTAGGGTTTATTTGCAGAGATAAATCCTATTCAGGGGAAACCCTTTCACCTGTTCACACAGCATGATTCACCAAGCTGGGGGCAGCTCAGAGAACAGGGAGAAGATATAGTTAGTAGCTTTCTTCTCTTTAAATTAACTTTGCTGGGGCATAATTTATAGACAAAGTGTGCAGTTTTTCTAACTGGCAATATTAAGCTAAGATAAACTTAAGCATTCCTAAGTTAAAATTTAAAGTGTGGGTCTGTGTGGAGCAAGTGCATGAAAAATGTCTCGGATCCATACTTTCATCAGATCTTCGTTGGGGATTTTTTTTTGTACTGGGAATTGAACTCAGGACCTTGTGCTTGCCAGGCAGGCGCTTGTGCCACTGAGCTATATCCCCGGCCCTAGATCTTCAAAAGAGCACTCCAAAAAAAGAGAAAAGAAAAAAAGTCAAGAGCTATTGCTGGCCTTGAACTCAGTGATCCTCCTGCCTCAGCCTGCCAAGTGCTGGGATGACAGGGGTGTGCCACCATGCCCTGCTAATAATGTACACGCATTCTTTTTTTTTGGTGGTACACTAGCATGTTGCTACCAAACCATTTAGGCAGAAGCTGCCTCTATTTATTTTGTCTCTGCTTAATTCTCGTGAAGAGCTTAGCAAGATGCGAGCTGCAGAGAGACCTGATTTAGCTTTGGGGAGTGACAGTGACAGAGGCGGCCTCAGCGCAGGCAGTGGGGAGGCCAGTGTCCCTCTGGTGGGGAACAGGGAGGCAAGGGCAGGACTCACGTTGATGAAGCTGACGTTCAGCTCCTTGGCCGTGTAGCCCCGCTGCAGGTTGCGCCTGGCATACACATCATAGTCCCGGACGATCCGCGTGATGATGTCTGACGTGGAGATGCCTTCTGTCCTCTGTGTTGGCGCGAACATGCCTGACTCCAGAACACACAGACAAACACTGTGACGCTCACATGCGCGGGCAGAGGGCGGGGGACGGGAGGCACGCCTTCCTACGCTAGGAGCAGGCCTGCAGCTACTGCGCCAAGCCTAGGAGAACCGGCCAACAGCAGGGGCCCTGAGGGAGGCCAGGGGAGGAGAGGAGGAGCCACACGGCCCCAGATTAAGGAAAGCGGGGGCCTGAGGAAATCTTCCTGAAGTTAATACAAGATCAAAACCAGATATTCAGACTAAGAAGTGGTGGGTGTCACCGCTGTGGTCCGCCTTTATCTTTCACCCACAGTGTGACCTGAAAGACGACGTCAGATTTCTCAGCGGCACCGTCCTCTGTGAAGGAGTAGTGTGGACTGACCTCGGGCTGCCAGGACACTGTGCTCACCTGCCTCCTTGATGTGCTTATAGACATCGTCGCTCCCAGCGGAAGAGTACGGGATGTCATCGTGAGCTACGAAATCAATCTGGGAACAAGGAAACATCACTTACAACCCAGGGTAACACCGAACGAAAGACCGCAGGCCTGCTCTCAGGCCAGAAAAAGACCAAAGCACACAGGCCAGGCCTTGTCTCTGCCTCTCTCTCTGCTGGTAACTTCTAAAGACCCATTCACAAACCACCCACCCAACTATTTGCGGAGTAGAAACACGAAGTCAGCCGGCGCATCTCTAGGTATTCCTCCTGGCTGGGAGCGCTGCTAACCCCCTGTGCACCCATGCCACCCTGGGGTGATGCGGCAGGGCTTCTGGTTCGCTAGTCAGTGGGGAGAGCCCCGGGAAATGTCCTTGTCCTCCAGGGCCGATGAGGATCGGTCAGCTAAAGGCTTCTAGAAGTATGAGAAAGAGGCCACTTCTGTGTTCACTGGCTTCTCTCTCAGGCTGTGAGAAGAGGGGGAATATAAAAATAGCAACCAGCAGCCCTTTTCCTGGAAGAGCTGTATCTATACTACTGAGAAACGCAGTATAAAAGCCACAGCTATAAAAGCCCTTTTAGGCCTTGGGATCTCAGGATGCTGTCAGTACACTTCTCAAACTCAGAGGAGACTAATGGCCCTGGATCAGTAATCTGTTGTTTTGGGTTTTTTTTTGTCTTTTTGAGACAGGGTCTCGCTCTGCAGTTCAGGCTGGCCTTGAGCTCACTCGGTAGCCCAGGCTGGTCTCGAATACTCTGTTTAGAGTCATGCTAGCCCTCACTTCTGTACTCCTTCCTGAAGAGGTCCTGGCCTCTCATGCGCTCACAGGACATTAGCAATGTACCAACCTCCAGAGGTCCCGCAGTGTGAGGCCTGTCTGGGACTCTAGCTAACACCCCAGATATCCAAGCACACCCGTCAGGGCCCACGGGCAGCACAGCAGAGCAGGGGCGAGGACACTCACGGCTGAGACACACAGCTGCCGGGGGGAGGGGAAGCTGGGAGTCTGGCCCAGACTTCCCGGCTGTGGGCACTGCTGGGAATAATCGTGCCCCTTGGTCCGTGCACCAGTGACGGTTACAGGTTGATGCAGAAAGGCCAGAGAGTGATCAGGGTCTGTCCTGATCTTACAGTTACAATAATGAGCTTCCCACCTACCAGGCACTACTCCAGGAACACCTTGGCCACCTTTGTTTTTTCCTCCCTCCCTAAGCCGTTCGCCGGCAGCCACCACACCGCCCTGCAGAGAATCGAGTGCACACGGGTTCCGCAAGCTTGTGGACCTCCACCTGCCCCGCACATCCTCCTCACCTTTTGCAGGAAACCTGTCGTTTTAATGCGGGGGAACTCCGAGGAGGTAAGGGGCTTTGTAATAATAACTCACTACCGAGGAACAGTGAGAAACATCCTGAATTCTGACCCCACACAATTTCTAGCCCCAAATCAGAGCCCTGAAAGGAAATCTAAGGCAACAGAACAGAAGTTACGTTAATCCGCTTTGTTTCCCAGAACGTGAACTTCATGAGCACAGGGCTGGGCTATGCGGACCCGCAAGAGCTGCACGCTAACGGGCAGGCAACATCACGTAACTGAAGCGACAGGCCCAGCACTGCTGACGGCGGCACCTGCCGCAGGCTCTTTGTCTCTCTGGGCCTTGATCCTCCGGGGGAAAGTGGAAACAGCGACAATCCCACAGGACTACCATGGGGGCGGTTCTGTGAAAGTGCTCGTAAGCATTAGGCTCCACAGATGTCGCGAGGATAACACAGTAATCCCATGCGAGGGTCTCCGTAAGCCCCACAGCGGAGACACAGAGCTGGCAGACAAGTAGGGCCCGCAGGCACGAGCGCCACGGGGCTCGGGGACCTGGGAAGGGTGCGCGGGCCGGCTCTCACCCGGTGCTCCGCCAGGAACTCGGGGGTCAGCGTCCAGGGCGCGTTCCTCACCACCTCGTCCACGTAGCGGCAGTGCTGCACCGCATCATAGCGCTCGTTCTCGTTCATCACCGTGAAGCCTTTGAAGTTGTGCGTCAGCTCATCGCTGCAGACTGGGGTCACCGCAGGGACAGGTGTGAGTCAGGGTCCTCTCCACTAATGCTCTTCAGCCGCCCACCTGCCCCTCCTCCCTCTTCCTAGCCCCGCAACTCTCTGCCCCACCTCAAGTAAAGACCTCCCGGTCGCCGCTCAGCACCAATGCTGCTTCTGATCCAAGCTCCTCCTCCGGGAGCAGTACCACTAAATAGAGCATGTTCACCCCTTGGAGAAGGGAGGTACGGCAGGGACTAAGGCCTCTGACTTTGAAAGGAACCTGCTGTGCGTTTCTGTATCAATCAAGATTTTTAGAAAATGTTTTCCTTTTTTATCAAACCGGCCTGGAGCACAGCAGAACAGCGGCTCGGCAGACCTCTGTGCTTCAGCGTGTTGAGAGTTCAGTGCCAGAGGTCTTGGGCCAGTGAGCTTGCAGCTCCGCAACCACGGCTGAGGTTGGAGCGCTTCACAGACTTCACGTAAGGAGGCGGTACCAACTCCACCACTTTAAAAATGGAAACAAGGTACACCTGTAATCCCAGCACTTGAGAAGCTGAGGCAGGAGGATCACCAGGAGTTTGAGGCCAGCCTGAGCTCCATGGTGAGTTCAAGGCCAGCATGAATGACATAGCAAGACCCTGTCTAAAAAACCAAAAGCAAAACAAATAAACAAAAAATAGAAAAATGGGCCGGTGTACTCAGGTCACATGGAAAGGAGGGAGAGAAAGAGAGCTGGGATCTTCTTCCAGGGCCTTCTTACCTCCCACAATGAGGTACGTATTAGGGAAGAGGTTCTTCGCTTGCATCAGAGCCCGGGCATGACCAGAGTGGAACAAGTCAAATATTCCGTCTGCATAAACTCGCACAGGTCGCTCACCTAATCCAAATGATAGAACTGATCAGCACACATTTATTCACTACCTCGTCTATAACAAGATGAACTCAGCTGTGTGACTGACTGTTTGCTGCAGCACACTCCTCCCTCCAGGGGTTCTCTAGGTAGTCACCCCAACTGGGGGAAGCCGGGGCTACATTACAGACCTCCTTGACTACAAAGACCTGTGACATGTGCACTTACTCTTTGCAGCTGGCTTATATCAGTACAAAAAAAAAGTAGGATAGCTTTCTCTTAAAGTTACTTTTGAAGTGAAAAGGGAAAGAGGTATTAAATGGCTATCAGACCTGACCCTCAGCATTTCACCTTCGTTTCCGAATCTCCGATTATGCTTGCAAGGGGTAATCAAACTCTGGCTGCCGTGCTGTCTCATTTCTAAGCTGCCTCAATTACTAATAACCAAAGCCTGAAAAGAGATCTCCTGATACTGCCCAGGGAATAAGGAGTGACCCACAGGAGGAAGGGGGAAGCTGAGCATCTAAAGAGAGCAGTGATCAATGCGCGGTTTCAGGCTCAGAGTTACCCGCAACATCTGCTCTGTGCTAAGAACTCCCTGAAGCGTTTCTCCTTTGTAGTAAGTGCGACGTTACATTTGCTCAGTACAGGATGACATAGTAACTATCTGAAAATCAGAAGTTCTAGCTATCAGTTTTTATTTTTGGAGGCAGTGGCCTATGAACAAGCAGTCAGGAGATTATCGCTTAGAGCACAGGACTACTCCTGAAGTAAGCACACTGAGAATAAAACGGACACACCCGGCACCATGCTTCAGGGGCCAAGGCAAAGGAGGACATTTACTTCCGCTGTGTGCCTGAAGGACAAGCAGCTTCACCGTGCAGCAGAAGCACCTCCACCACTGTCGGGGAGAATGCTGGAGCCCCTCAGCCGCCCCTGCTCCACCCCCATCTTAAGGGGGTTGGGCCAAGGAGCAGGAAATGGTTCTCAGAAGATTTTCAACTTTTCAAATGTATCCATAGCGCCGGGTGTGGTGGCGCACACCTGTAATCCCAGCATTTGGGAGGCTGAGGCGGGAGGATTGCTGCAAGTTCAAGACCAGCCTGGGCTACAAAGTGAGCCCAAGACCAGCCTGAACTGCATAGTGAGACCCTGTCTCAAAAAGTAAAAATAAACCAACAAAATGTATCCATAAACATGCCACTTGAAAAGGCTATACTATACACTGTTGATAAAAACATCACTAACTTTTAAAAGAGAAATTAAAAGAGGTAATATTTATCAAAAGACAAATGTTTATATCCTTTGGTCCAGCTATGCCAAGTTGAGGAATTTACCTCATAGACATATTTGTAAATATGTGCGCTCTTCATAGCAGCGTTGTCTGTAATAGCAGAGGTCTAGAAACAGCCTAAATTTCAGCAGAAAACTAACATCCCACATCCACTTCAAGGTGGGAAGATATGCAAACTATACTTCCTAGATAGTGGCGAGAGACTGGTACTCCCGGCAGCCGGGAAGACGGGCAGTGCTGGGTGGCTGTGGGAGACACTGCAGTCTGTGTCCTTGCTGTACTTTCCAAATCTCAGGTCACAGAGGTGTCCAGATTTTATAACAAGGAACTGAGTTTTTGAAATAAGTACATTACTGCAATGAAAAACTGAGAAATCATGTTCTCTTTTGATGCTGGGGATTGAGAGCAGGCTTGCTCTGTATGCAGCCTCCCACTGAGCTACACCCCGCCCTTTGATGGATTAAGAAGCAGAAAGGTTATAGCTCTAGCTTCCTTTCCCTGCGACCCTAACCCCTGTAAGCCCCAGTATTCTGACCTGTAAAATAAAACAAAATCTGAGTAATACAACCCTCTTCTATATCCTAGGAATCATGAACTAACACGTTCCCATTTTCCCCAAGCAAGTACCGAGGTGCTCTGGTCTCACTTTCCTTGAAAAGACAAAAGATAGGGTATAGAAATTAAGACTTTTTTTTTTTTGGGTCTTTTTGAGACAGGGTCTCGCTATACAGTTCAGGCTGGCCTTGAGCTCACTTTGTAGCCCAGGCTGGTCTCGAACTCACAATGATCCTCCTGCCTCAGCCTCCCGAGTGCTGGGATTACAGGCGTGCGCCACTACACCCGGCTAAATTAAGACTATTCTGTTAATTTTCTTTCCTGCTATTAGGCGGAGTATCGGCAGGGACAGTAAGATGGGAAAGTTTGGCTCTGGAACTCACTGCTGGACAGTGACGAGAGCACAGACCCCTGCTGCCGGCGCTGCTCATCGGCCCTACGGTGTCCAGGGCATCACTGAGCTCTTTGTAGCCCCAACCCCAGACATGTCGCCTTCTTCCATGTCTCCCCAGGCTCTGGCATCTCAGCGGCCTGACTTAACCCCAAGTCTCTGTAAACCCAGCTGGCATATTCTCCGTGTGGCCAGAAGGGGGCACTGTTGAACTAGTCTGCGGCGAAGCAAGGGCTGGCCGTTCTTTCAACAGCGGTTGCTGACCAGGAAAGCACACCCCTCGATAGGCAACTGCGGTCTGAGCATATAATTAAGAAGGAGCCCCTGTCACTCATAAAACTGTCCTGAATGGGTTATAAATTTACATTACGTGGGTGCCCTACTGCTGGCTAAGTAACCAGATGACCTCCTTCAGGCGGAGCCAACCTGGGCTTTAATTCATTCTTTTTTAATCTATGTCCCAGATTCCTATTACGGAAACAGTTTGTCCTGAACAGATTTCTCCTACCCTTCAAACTCCTTCCCTTCCTTCGAGTCAAACTGCTTTTTTTTTTCTTTTTATCTTCTAAATGATTCCCAAAACTAATTTCATGTCTTTGCCAAGCTTACAGGTTAATTTGCAACTCTCTGTCCCACCTAGAAGGCAATCACTTCATGCAGGGTCTTCTACCGTGTCAATCAGTGTCATAAAGAGCACACCACTCCGGAACTCAAGGGCGGAAGGATCTAGCTTTTAGCTCCAGTTCAGCCCCTAATTTTCTCTTTTATTTTAGGGCAGCCTTCACTTTTTTTCTTTTATGTATATAGTGAAGAGATTATAAAGCAGATAACTTCAAAAGTGAGTTACTTATACAATTATAATATCCTAAAATTTTAAATTTAGATGATTAATGCTTACTAATTATAAGCTTCAAAACTTGGAAACACTACACATATTGTGCATTTTAGAGAAGGGACTGAACCCAGGGCCTTGTAGGTGCTGGGCATGCGGTCCACCTCTGAGCCACGCCCCCAGCCCACTACACCTATTTCCATCTTTTTTTTTGTCTTTTTGAGACAAGGTCTCGCTATGCAGCTAGGCTGGCCTTGAGCTCACTGTGTAGCCCAGGCTGGTCTCAAATTTGTGATGATCCTCCTGCCTCAGCCTCCCGAGTGCTGGGATTACAGGCATGGGCCAATGCGCCCGTCTCCTATTTCCATCTTTGCGGACACAGATGGTATGGGGGTGAATTGGCACCAGGCGGGCAGCTGACCATCGTGACTGGCCTAGCAAGGAACTGAATTCTGATGTGTCGTTAGTGCGCAGGAAGTTCTGGCCTCCGGCAGGCCCCCTCATCGTACCTGTGCATGGACCCTGCGCCGTCTGCTGGCATTCTGAAATCTGACCTGACTGTTCTTGTTTTCATTTTACCCTGCCCCCATCCGCCAGCCTCAAATAAGGGAGCCAAGCTCAAAGGTCATATCATGACTCAGAAGGCGATGATCAACGCGTGCTATTGCCTAACGTTTCTGCAACGGGAAAGACTTCTCTGGAACTGGCCTCTTTTTTCTGAGGACCCCAAACCATAATGCACATACCCAAGACACAAGTGAAGGGGATTGGGATCCCTGGCCTGATACCATGTGGCATCATTTTTATTTACATGTTACTTACTCCTCAGCCATAACAAACACACTTAAGAAATAATCTAAAAGTAATGACAAATATTCTGTATATACGTTGGAAATGGATACATTTGTGGCTATAACAGCTTCTTATTCCCTGGCATTTGCCCAGGTTTAAGTCCAGCTCTGCGTTTACAGAGTAGAGAGAATATTTACCATAGTATTTGAAGACTGAAAAAGGACAGAGAAAGACAGAGAGAGAGAGAAGGAGAATTTACAGCAAAGAACAGTTGCCTAAAGGACTTTATATTCATTAAAAAAAAATGCTCATGGGAGTGTCTATTTTGGTGAACGCTAAGAGCAACTGCTCCAAAGGGGAAACACAGCCAGAATACACAGTAACAACTTATGTGGTCTAAACTATTAATTAATAAGGATATACACGAACCATACAAATAGAGTACAGGCACTAAAAATCATAAACCAAGTCTTTAGAAAGATCTGGAGGTGGGCATGGTGGCCCACACCTGTAATCCCAGCATTTGGGAGGCTGAGGCTATGAGTTTGAGGCCAGCATGGCTACAGAGTGAATCCAAGGCCAGCCTGAACTACACAGCAAGACCTGTCTCACATACACAAAAAAAAATCTGGAAACTTAAAAGTATCAGCAAAGATAAAATAAAGTAATACATGTCTTCCATCTGAGGATATTCTCATCCTCTGTCAATCAGCATCATGGCAAACTGACGCCATGAGAACTCGGGTGGCTATAAAAACTGTGACAGACAGATTAATGTATTATTAGACAAGATCACGAGGCTATGGTGCAGCTCGGAAGGCTATAGGGCGTGAGGTCTTGGATTCAATGTCAACCACCTTCAATAACTACGTACTAGATCATAACCAGCTAGACTAGTGTCTTACTATTTCTGCTCCACTATATCTCACAGCTGTGATGACAGATCAGGGAATAAGTGTACGAGCAAGAGAAAAAAATTTTCTAGAGTATAGACAGCCCCCCTCCCAAACAGAGGATCAGGTCAAACATGACTCACCTTTACCTGCCGTTACAAGTAAGCTGGTAGAAGTGGATAAAGAGCAGGCCTGTGTTTGATAAACACAATGGAACGCTAAAACTATAGAAAAACAACAAAATAATAAAGTAGGTATTACTTACAAGGAGTTCCTCTGCTGGCTTCTTCCAGAGTTACCCTGACATAGGGTTTACTAAAGTCAACCTCGATTTCATCAGAAAAAGGAGCTGGCTCCCGTAAGCCCTTAAAAAGAAAAGATTGAAGGGAGAGAAAGTTAAATGGTACACAGTGAAATACTAAAATATGGCAGCTTTGAAGAAAAATATTATTCAGTATCTTGTGACTAAAATTCCTCCTAAAACTATAACATGAAGAGGGAAATTTTAAAAAGGCATGCTACTCTAAGCCCAGTATGGCGGCTCACACCTGTAATCCCAGTAGTTGGAGGCTGAAGCAGGAGGGCTGCAAGTGCAAGCCCAACCTGGGCAATATAATGTAATGGTCTCAGCTTGTCTCAAAAATAAAACATAAAAATGGCTGGAGAAATAGCTTAATGTAAAGGCCCTGGGTTCAATCCCTGGTAAAACAAAACACATACACACACACACAAAAGGTTTTCCAAACTAAGTGAAAGGTGCAACCTTTTTCAAAATAGCTAAATAAATAATTTTTTAAAAAAACAAAATGGGTAAATCATGGCATGAAAAATAAATAGCTAGGTATGTGCCGCATGCCTGTAATCCCAGGTCTTTAAGAAGATAAAGCAGAAGAATTCCAAGTGAGCCCAGCCTGGGCAACACAAGACCCTGTCTCAAAACATATGATATAAAAAGGGCTGGGGAGGTAGCTCAGTGTGAGGCCCTGGGTTCAGTTCCTGAGGCGGGGCACTAATGGATTAAACATAATTTCTCATTAGGAATGTGTAATCATAAAGAGGATGAGAAAAACAGTGAGGGCCCAGACAAGACAGAGGAATCAACCAGAAGTTTTTCACAGTGGAGATCTGTGCATGTCTAAAAGGTATGGGGGGCTGGGTGCGGTGGCGCACGCTTGTAATCCCAGCACTCAGGAGGCTGAGGCAGGAGGATCTTTGCGAGTTCAAGACCAGCCTGGGCCACAAAGTGAGCTCAAGGCCAGCCTGGTCTGCACAGCGAGTCCCTGGCTCGGAAAAAAAAAAAAAAAAAAAAAAAAAAAAAAGTGGGGGAAAGAAGCCAAAGTGACTGAAATGCCAGAGAAGGAAGAACAGGTAATTTGGAAGCAAGAGTCTAGATAAAAGATAGGAAGTGGCCTCCAGGAAAGGCCGAGGAAGATGCCTGTCCAAGAAACAAGGACTCTGGTTTTCTAAAAGCAGAAGGAAGAAAGGGGATACAGGGCTAACGCCGGATAAGAGAGGGAAGATGTAGAAACCGTCATGAGGCGCCCTGTCACAGCACTGTTCCGGGGGAGGGAATTTAGCCTCAGTGAGGTTGGTAAGAAAGCATTAAAAATCAATCTACCCGGGATCAGCAAATGATGACTGTAACTACGGAGCGCTACATTCAGTTCCCATCAAGCAAGAAACTCTAGAAGAGCAATTAAAATACAGCAACAGTGAATGACCTAGGGTTAGGGCCTGATGAATAGGAAGGAAGACATTTCCCCTGAGCGGACTTACAGTCAGCGAGCACATAAAGGGGCACAGCACCAGTTACCAGGAAAACGGGGAGCTGGTGCCTCTCACCTACAGATACGCAACAAAAAAGATGAGCAAAAGACTTGGCAAGGACATGGAGAAGCCGGACCCTTCCCACACTGCTGCTAGGAAAGGAAGATGGTGCACAGCTTTGGAAAGCGGTTCCTCAAGGTGTTTAACACAGAAATGCCGTACAACCTAGACACTGTAACTCTAGGTATCTGCTCAAGAAAACTAAATGTGTATTTTGTAGAAAGCAATTTATAAGGCGTGGAAGCGCATGCTTGTAGTCTCGGAACTTGGAAGCTGAGGCAGGAGGATCACAACCACCCTTGGGCTACATAAGCGAGTTCAAGGCCAGGTTGCACTACAAAGTGAGGCCCTGTCTCAAAACAAAGCCGAAAGGAAAAAAAAAAGAAAGCAACTTATACACAAAAAGTGTTTGTAGCAGCATTATTCTAGACAAAATGTAGAAACAACTTAAATTTCTTCAACTACTGAGTGTGTAAACAAAATGGTATGTCCACATGTGGAAAATCATTCACCTAAGGAATAAAGTACTAACAGAGGCTATCGCCTACACCTTTAAGGACTTTAACAAATATTACAATAGCCTGCCTTGGCACACCCTTGTAAGCCCAGTTACTCAGGAGAGGCTGAGGCAGGACTGTAAGTTCAAGGCCAGCCTGGAGAATTCAGTGAGACTCTGTCTCAAAATAAAAAAAATAAAAAAGGCTTGGGACAGTACCTGCCTAGCATGTATCAGCCCCTAGGTTCAACTCCCAGTATCACAAAACAAAACAAAACAAAACAAAACAAAACAAAACAAAACAAGAAAAAAAATGCTAAACAAAAGCAGCCAGACACATAGACATGAAAGTCCACGCAGTTCCATTCCCATTCATTTGAGGCATTCAGAACAGGCAGTTCCATAGAGTGGAGACCAGCGGTTGCCCCGTAGTGGAGCGGACAGGTTGTGGGGGAGTACAGCAGAATAACAGGGATTTCTTTTGGAAGAAATGAAATGTTTTAAAGTTAGACAATCATCATGGCCACAAGACACTGCAAATATACTATAAACACTGAATTGTATACTTTCGTCTGGGCTACAAGGCGAGTTTAAGACCAGCCTGAACTATATAGCAAGATCTTAAAAACAAAAAAATGCACACAAAAAAACCCTATAAACTGGGTGTGGTGGCTCATGCCCGTAATCCCAGCACTCAGGAGGCTGAGGCAGGAGGATCACTGTGAGTTTGAGGCCAGTCTTGGCTACAAAGTGAGTTTAAGGCCAGCCTGAAGTATATAGGGAAAACTCTGTCTAAAAAGACAAAAAAACAAAAACAAACAAAAAATCCTACAAAACAGTTAAAATGGTGAATTTTATTTCAACTTTATTTTATTATTATTTTTTTTTGGTACTGGGAATCGCGCTTAGGACCTCACACTTGCCAGGCAGGCGCTTGTGCCACTGAGCTATATTCCTGGCCCCTTTATTTCAACTCTAAAAGCTGTTTTAAGCATCCTGTCTCCACAACTGTTTCTTCTATCTTCCTCCTATGTTGCGCACGGCCTCAGCAGGGACCAAGCGTGGCCATTCCTCCTGCTGGGTTTATGCTGCCTCGACTTCCCTAGACAGAGAGAATGATACCAAGGCTCTGTAGCTATGACAGGACAGCAAAATCTCATCTTCCTCAGGCCGTCTCAGAGAGCAGTGTCTCTAGATGCTGAGTGGCACACAGGCAGGAAATGACACATTTCTCCTGTGCTCAACTAAACTCTTCTCTTTCCTTTTGACCTCAAGGGAATCCTACAGTACTGAGGTTAATCCTTGTCCATCTAGACAGGAGAGGGCATAGATTTAGGATTTGAAAAATTTAGATCTACCTTACAGCTGAATAGCTATAAAATCACAGCAAGCCTCTAAAATTATTGTTTTGTCTTCTAAAAATGGAAGACAAAGTGCATAATAGCCTGTAATCAATCCATGCAATTTGGAAGGCTGAGGCAGGAAGAACTCAAATTCAAGCCTACCCTGAGCAACTTAGTGAGACCCTGTCTCATAATAAAAATAGAAAGGGGCTAGGGTATGTAGCTAAATGGAAGAATATCCAGGTTGATCTCCAGGACTATAAATAATAATAATACTTTTTAAAATAAAAAAATTAGATAGGGTGCTAGGGGTTTAGCTCAGTGGCACAGCGCCGCCTGGCAAGCACGCGGTCATGAGTTCAATTCCCGATGCCGGAAAAAAAACCAAAAAAACAAACAAACAAAAATTAGATATTAAAAAATAAAAAATAAAATTAAAATAGCAGATAATTTCCTGCCCCACAAATTTACTGTGAAGATTACACAAAATAATATCTGCAAAGTAAGTAGCGCAATGTTTCACATCTAGCAGGCACTCAATAAATTTTAACACAGATTTCAGTACACTAACAAAATTAGCTAAACTGTATTCATCTATGCACCTAAAAATTCTAACTAACTGGGTGTGATGTCCCACATAACCTATAATCCCAGCATTTAGGAGGGTGAGGCAGGAAAATTGCTGCAAATTTGAGGCCAGCCTGGGCTACATAATGAGACCCTGTCTCAAAATATAAAAGCAAAACCAAAAATTTCTAACTAATAATGATAACCAGCATTCCTCACATTATGAATGCTCTGAGCGCAGTTCTACTTCATAACAATTTTTCCCATGTTTGCACACACTAACTCATTCCTAAAATCCCAGGCAAAGAAAAGGGATTCTAGTATTCATCCTCACAGGGCAATGGAAACAACACAAGTAACGTGAACCTAGAACTTGATACTAACTTCCTACTACTCTTTCTGTTCCCCAAGGATTCTTGAATATTTTTGGCAAAGCTTCTAAATGCCGCAAAGAGACATTTCCCCTTCACCCAGACATTCTGCACAAGCAGTAATGGGTCCTCCTCCTCAAGTCCAAATTCTTTCAGGAAAAAAATTCTACAGAGTTAAGTGGAGTACTGTAACGTGTGATATGAGAAAAAGGGGATGAGGTGAGCAGAAAATTCCATTTCTGGGCATGTTTTTGTTTTGTTTTGTTTTTGAGACAGGGTCTCACTATGTAGTTCAGGTTGGCCTTAGACTCACTGCATAGGCCAGGCAAGCCTTGAACTCTCGGCAATCCTCCTATCCCAGCCTCCCGAGTGCTGGGATTCCAGGTGTGCGCCACCATGCTCGGCACATCTGTTCTTAAAAAATAGCCAGGTACATGGAGCACACCTGGAATCGCACCACTCTAGGGGGCTGAGGCAGGGGGATCTCAGTTTGAACCCAGCCTGAGCAACTTAGCAAGATGCTGTCTCAAAATAATAAATAAAAAGGTCTGAGGAAGTGGCTCAGTATAATGGCCCTGGGCTCAATCCCCAGTCCTACCAAAAAAAAAAAAAGCTAAAGAAAGAAAAGTAATAGTCTCCAACCTCTATCACCATTTCAATAAGTATAAACAATAAGCTCATCTATCCAATGACTACCTTGGTGTCTCATAAGCTTTTTAAAGTGAACTTGCACTGAATTAAGCTTTCTCCTCCCTCTAAACCTGTTTCTTCGCCCTGTATGTTTTATTTCAGTGAGAAGCATCCCATACACCTCAGGCCGACACCTAGGAGTCACGCTTACCATTTCACAGGCTCTACATCCCACTAATCACCAAGAATTGTCTGGTTTACCTCTTAAGAACCTTTACAGTTTCTGTCACAGTTGAAGTCCCCATCACCTCCAACCTGGCCATTACAACAATGAGCCTCTCTGGCTCCCATCTGTCCTGCTCTGAAGCAATCAGGACGATCTTCCTCAGTCGTAGATCCGACCCATCACCTACAGGATCAAGCTCAGACTCCTAGCACAGCATACAAGGTCCTTCCCGGCTGGGCCCTTGGTTTCCTCATCTGTCACAGACTCTTATTCTGAACCCCAGCTGTATTACTTAGAGTCTGCAGAACATAACACTATCTCACACTACTATCTCTTGGGGCCACTTTTTGACATCTTAAGATCCTTCAAGGTTCAGCTCAGAAATAATCTCGATGAAGCTTTTCCAAAACCACTATGCCCAGCCAGACATGGTGGTGCAGGCCTGTAAGCCCAGCACTCAAAGGCAGAGGCAGAAGGGTTGCCACAAATTCAAGTCCAGCCTGGGCTACACAGTGAGTTTAAAACTAGCCTGTCTCAAAACAAACAAACATCCACTGCCCCGATGCCCTGGTCCAAGTCAAGCTCTTGCTTCTCTAGACAGCCATTGCTACCTTTAATTTTCTTTTTTTTTTTTTTTTTTTTTTTTTTGCGGTACCGGAGATCAAATTCACGACCTTGAGCTTGCCAGGCAGGCGCTTATGCCACTGAGCTATATCCCCAGCCCCTAATTTCCTTTAATTTGTCACTTTTCATACTGCACATTATTTGTTCCTGTCCCTTTCCCCTATTTGTCCGTGAGCCTGAAAGCAAGATTACTTTTCCATCCTTGCAACTCTAATACATGTTGGTCAAATGAGATGCGGGGACCCCCTTAGCCATGATCAGAACTATGGACAGCTTTCCTCATAGTTCAGCACTTCTCATTTACATACATGAATGTAAAGATAGGCCAAATGTCTTACTTTCTGTAAATATTTTTTGACCTTTTTTTTTTGCAGTATGAGGTCAAACCTAGCCGTGATCATGCTAAGTGAGTGCTCTACCATGGAACTACATCCCCAGGCCTTGGGCTCCTTCTGATTGTGCCTTTAAAAACCTGTTATCAGGAAATTCTTCACACTTAAAGAGACAAAAGGGCATAAAGTTATTCCTTTCTCCCTTGCTTAATTCTTCTCTTCTCTTCTACCTACTTAATCCTGATCCGCTAGCCCAGCTACCTGCTGCTCGGTGGTCCTTCTATTCCGCTCCACTGGCGTGGGGAGCACTCTTCCGAAGCTACAGAGCTGAGCTGTGGAGCTCTGGCCCGGGCCCCTATCTGTCAAAGGCACAGCCTGCTTATCTCTGGACCCCAGCACCTCCTGCCATGCTGGCAGTGACAGGCACGTAATAAAGCCTTGTTGACGCAGCCCCACAGCAGCTGGCAAATGAAGAAATGCAGCGTCAGATACATGATGAGATAGTATTTAGCAATGAAAAGAAATGCCATCGTGATACATGCTACTCCACAGATGAATCCTGAAAACCTGCGTAGTGAAAGCAGCCCACTCACTCTGCGGTACGATTTCTGCATGAGGTCTAGAATAAGCAAAGCCACACACACAGGAAGAGAGATGGTTGCAGGAAGCTGGAGAGGTGGGGGGCAGTGACTGCTCAGAGGTACATGGCTTCTTCTAGGGTAATAGAAGTACTCTAAAATTACAGCAGGGTGTGGTGGTGCGAGTTCGAGGCCAGTCTGGGCTACATAGTGAGTTCAAAGACAGTCTGAACTACACAGCAAGACCTTGTCTCTAAATAAAAAATAAAATAAAATCATTTGGGTGATGGCTGCACCAATCTGTGAACACACTAAGGTCCAGTGAGTTGTTGTGTTGGGAGGATATAAAATATGTCAATTATATTTCAATGAAGCTGTTAGAAAAGAAGTAAAATATCTCATTTCCTTTTGCTACAGACTTAAAATTCAGAGGTAGAAAGTACAGGTGTATAGTGCAGCTGACAGACCAGTTTATTCAGTAGATCCTCCTTCTCCCTAGAGGCCCTCCGGCCTGTTGAGTGAGTGAGATTTTGAACATTTACTAAATACCAGTGCATACCCGGGAGGAATGCAGAAGAGGCAGCAAGCCACGGACCTGATTTTACATGAACATACGGAGCAAAATAACTTAACCCCTGACCTTCGCTGTGCTGTCCCTGGGTATGGGGGCGGGCTGGGGATGTCACCGCTAGGTTATATCTTGTCCTCACTCCACCTGATAGTGCCCAACTACTGCCCGTCGCCAGCTCTTTAACCTGAATCTCTTAGACACTTTCAGTCAACCATGCCCTGTTGACTGCTGGGCCATTTTCCAAGCTCACTTGCCGTGGTGTATGGAACGATGCCCCCTGAAAGATGTCTGTACCGTGTTCCAGCAACCTGCAGGTATGCAGCTTTCCGTGGCACAAGGGGCTCTGCAGATGTGGTAGGTGAAGGGCTCGGCAGCAGGCGGACCCCGAGGCGACCTGGGTGCGCCCGGTGTAATCACAAGCCGCCAGATAAGGAACAAGAGAAGGCTGGAGAGCCAACATCAGAAGGCGTGACAAGACCAGCAGCAGCCAGAGTGGTGCAACTGCTGCTGGCTGAGCTGGGCGCTGTGGGCAGCTTCTAGAAGCTGGACAAGACCAAGGAAATGGACTCTTCCCTAGGACTTCCAGCCCAGTCAACGCTTTGATTTTAGTTCTCTGAGACACACTTCCGACTTCCGACCTCCACAACTGTGAGAGAATACATTTGTGCTACTTGTGGTCATCTGTTACAGCAGCAATGGGAAATGGATACACTCATCTCTACCAGCAACATCCCTCTTACACCTGAAGGTGGATACCTCCTAGGTGTGGCGTCCAGCTGCTTTTATTGCTCAAGATAAAGTTGAGGTTTGGAACAACTCTTTTTTGTGTATTTAAGACAGGGTCTTGCTATGTAGTTCAGGCTGGCCTCAGACTCACCGCAATCCTTCCAAGTGCTGGGATTACAGGCAAGCGCCACCGTACTCAGCTGGTTTTGATTTTTTGAGATAGGGTCTTACTATGTAGATTGGGCTGGCCTTGAACTCGTAACATCCTCCTACCTCAGCCTCCTGAGTGCTGGATTGATCCTAGCCCAGCCAGCCTGATATGTTTATTAGAGGAAGCTTGAAAAGAGGTATCAAGCTGAGAAAGGGTAGGCAGCTTGGAATGGGGTCTTTAAGGCTCAGCAGTAGTTAGGAAATAGAACAATACTACCGCAGAGATAAAGGTGTATAACGTATGGGGAAGAGGTTCTCATCTAAGATTACAGCCAGGAGCAGAGCGGGAAATGATACGAGGTGACGAGACTGTAACACAAAACCAAGACACTGCGAGAAGAGCAGAGCAATCACTGCCGCAGGCCCCTTTTCTGTAGCTTTTCAGTATAAATTAGACCTTTAACTTGACCTACCCACAGCCTCCAAATTTTCCAAACATTCTTTTTCCAATTCCAGTGTCAACACTGGGCGGGCAGGGGGGTGTGCGGGGCGCATGCCTGTAATCTCAGCACTCGGGAGGCTGCAAGTTTGAGGCCAGCCTGTGTCACAAAGCCAGCCTGGACTAAATAGCAAGACCTCGTCTCAAAAAAAAAAAAAAATGTCAACTCCTACACTGGGCTGGAGTGATAATCTGGAAAGAGAGCATGGTATTTCCAAAAACTGTAAAGTACCCCGACTCTTCACACTTAGCACTCTCCCCGCTCTTTAAGAAGACTGGTGACACCTGTTACACTCGCTCCCCCTACCCCCACCTGGTTCAGCATGCGTGAAGAAGCCGTCTCTGCTCACCACTGCATAGCGCTGCACTTTGGAAGGAATCCCGTCTTCCTCCGTTGCCCCATTCGGTCCGAGGGCCTCTTTTCGCCTCTTCCTTGAGTTGACTCTGGCTGAACTCTGTACATCCATCTTCTGTTAACTGGTCAGAGAAAGTGGGATTTTTGAGGCATTAATACACTCCGCAAAACACCAACTCCACAGCTCACACTTCACCAAGATGAGCCAGTGGTATGTAGCAACAACAAAGCCTCCTCAAACACAGGCTCTCGCAGACGCTGAAATGCCTCTGTGCGGAACAATGGCCACCACTAACCCGGACCTTAGAACTTTTTCCTCCTAGCGCTGCAGCCTACACACTGCTGATTTCAGATCTTGATTGTATGCAAAAGATTAGAATAACCTGTCTGCCAAACACAGCTACCAGGCTGAGGATCCTTATCTGAAATACTTGGGACCAGAGGTGTCTGGTTTCAGTCCTTTGGATTTGGAATATTTGCACAGACTTTACCAGTTCAGCATCCTTAGGAAAATTTGAAATCCAAAATGCTCTGAAATCTGAAGCTTTCTGGGCAGATTAGGGATGCTCTGCTAGACAGACTTTAACACCAGCCCTCTCGGCATCGCTGGGACACCTGAAGGTATGGCACACGCATGGCAGTGCAGAAGGTATGACCAGGACAGAGAGCGGGGAGTTTAAACCACATGGCTATTACCAAGATCTGGTTTAACAAAAGCAAGGATTTCTTAATTCTAAATGCCCTCCAGGTTTCAGAGACCACCTCACCAGAGTTAGCTCTGTGGAAACTGCGGACGGGCACAGTGCACTTGATCTTAGCCAAAAGGCGGAGAGGCCACTGGCACAGTGTATCCTGCAAATGTGTTGCCCTTCCTTTTTCAACACCCATTTCCACTTCCTCTTCCTCTTTCAGAACCGCAGCATCTCAAGCTGGCCCAGAGTGCTCGGCTATTAAAACCTCTACCTAAGCTTCTCGTCCCTTCAAGGAAAACTTCTTTCTACTCTCTCACTTAGCAGAGAGCATCTACCAATTAGCTGCCACAGGAAAGTTTGAAATATTTGACATGCCCAGTTTAGATGCTGGCTTGTGCTACCTCCCCAACCCCTGCAGAATTTTTTGTTTTGGGGTTTATTTTTTAGGTAATATATTTGCACACTTTGGTTTTTATTATGTCACCACACCTGGCTTAATTTCTTGACAATGAAGAAATGTTAGGCATCGGCCTGAAACTGGGAATAGAGGACACTCTAGGAGCCACTGTAACCTCTGCCCACGATAACGGTCCGGTGAGAAATCCTCAGAGACAAGCGGAAGACAAATGCCAGACAGAGTGTTCCACGCAGCCTCGCTGCCCCTCAGCCCTCTCTAAGGAGACAATCGTCTATGCGAATGTACTGCGCCTCACTTTCTTTCTGCCAGTGACACACAACGTGGCAAAAGGACAAGACATACAAGAAACTTGACCTGAATCTTGGAGACTGAAGGTGACACCCCATGAGTCACAGGTATTAGGTTGACATTAAAAAAAAAAATCAAGTATAAAGTGAAACGTGGACACCACCCAGAAACTGCCTTTCACTTCCAAAAAAAAGTATGTGAGCTGACAGATTTGTTAACTAGCTGGATTTAAGCATTCCACAGTGTAAACATATATTAAACCATACACAGTATACTCTAGAAACAAATGCCATTATTTGCAAATTTAAAATAAAATAAAATGCAAGTGTAAATTACTTTTTTAGGGAGCCTGTAATCAAGGCAAGGAAACCACGTGCAGAGCCCCACCTTAAAAATGTTTGATAGGAAAACATTCTTTATACTTCCAAACCCTCGAGTGAAAGCGTGCAGCAGAACAAGATATTTACACAGCTTCAAAATATCTACTCATAGATTACTTATTAATTACAAGGAGAAAAGAATTAGCTTGAGAGTGGGGGAAAAGAATCTCTTAGCAAATGTCTTAGTCACTTACTCATTGCTGAAGACAACACGTGATGCCTACACCATATGGGAGAGAGGGGTATTCTGGCGCACAGTGTGGCTGGGGCCAGGGCAGGACCGCAGGGCTTCAGGGGAGGGCAGAGGAAAACTGCTCACCACAGACAGCCAGGAAGCAGCCAGACAGAGCAGATGCTGGGAACGCAGATAAACGCTTCCAGACCCTGCCCCCGATGAGCAGACCCTGCTTCTTAACAGCAAGCCAGCTACGAGCCCCATAATCAATCACCCCCACCCCCACCCCCACCTATGAGCGCAGGAAGCTCTGCTGGGCCAACTAGATATAAAGCATAACAGCAAAATCACCAATGATGCCTTCTAATGTGAGGTGCTGAGGATAGAGTACCTGCCAAAAATTTGTAACTGCATCAATTTGCAAGGAAACAAGCAAACAAACCCCAATTAAAGGGCATTCTAAAAAGTACCTGTAGCTTAAAAAAAGTCAGTCATGAAAAACGGTGAAGGGCTGAGACTGTTCCAGGTTAAAAGAGAGTAAAGAAATGGTAACTTATGAAATACATGATTCTAGATTAGGGGAGAAATTATAATAAATGATAGTTAATAGAGTCCCAGCAAAATTTAAATATGGGCTGTGCATCAGATAGTAACATGCATTAATGTTAAGTTTTCTGAATTTGATAGCTACACCATTATGCAAAAGACTATCCTTGCTTTAGGTGATACATAGTTAAGTATCTTAGGATATAAGGTCATGAGCTATATAGGTACCCTAGGTGAAAGGAGAGGAGAGAGATGAAGAAAACATTACATATAAAAGAAAGTAAAAGCCCAGCACAGTGGTACACATCTGTAATCCCAGCACTCAGGAAACTGACACAGGAGGATTGCTGAGTTTCAGGCTAGCTGGGGCTACATAGTGAGTTAAAGGTCAACCTCAATTACAGAGTGAGACCCTGTCAAGAAAGAAAGAAAAGAAAGAAAAGAAAGAAAAGAAAGAAAAGAAAGAAAAGAAAGAAAAGAAAGAAAAGAAAGAAAAGAAAGAAAAGAAAGAAA